GCTAAACCACAACAATCAGTTAAAGATTTCTGTACTTGTAACATCTAAAACAGGAAGCAAAAGTGCAGTGAGACGGAAACTTTCTTTGCACTACATTATCTTAATAGCTTCCTCTATTGTAGAGCACTAGCAGACCTCCAGTAGCACCAGTAATGGGAAAAGCTCAAGATCACACTAGGACTCTGTCCTGCAGAACTTTCTGGAAGCATTATTTGGCAATACAAATTGAAGAAACCACATTTATTAGTATTTCCATCATCTCTAGTGGTTAAGAAGCTTCAGTAGTAGTGTATAGCATTCAGAAAATTCAGGAAAGTTTTATGTTCAATAGGACTAAAAATATCAGATGAAAGAGCTTTTGTGAAGCGATTCAGAAATATAACCTTAATGAGTGTGGCCCTTTTTTGTTGCCTTGGTTTATAGCATTTGCTGAGTGCAGGGAAGGAAAAGAAAGGAAAGAAAACACATATGGATAGACAGATGGCAGCACATACATTAGCAATTCAGGAAGCAAAACACTCTCCCTTCAGATCATGTTGCTTACAACTAATTACCAGCTCTCTAAGGTCACGTTTATTTTTTTTCTTAATAGTCTGCCAAAAAAGTCCTATATAAACAGTTCTTAAACATGCAAGACTAAAAAGCATCTTAGGATTCAGCAAAGTGCTTTGCCACTCTATTCAGGCTTATTTCGGTCTGTGTTTAAATCCAGGAAGTCTCAATAGATAGTAGCTGACAGACTGCACTTTCAGTGACAGGTAGAAGTACAGTGGGTAAGTATTTTGCATTCCTTCTAGTCTGTTTTGCCAGGCTAAGGTACTGGATTCATGTGACTGTCTCCTAAAGGACTCATTCATTGCAATTACTTGGGGGCAAGCACTGATGTCAGTAAACAATTGCCAGTATTTAACAACTTCAACTAGTATCTCCCTGGTATTTCCCACAGGAAGGAAAAGCTATTATGCTAAAATACTGACAGTAAAAGACAGTAAATGCAAAGGCCAATTAAATACAGACAACCTTGCAATAAATGTGGGAGAACCATCTTTCTGCAGTTCTCTATACTAGAGGAAATATCATTATTAGGATTATAAAACACATAATAAATTAATTTCTTGAAGTTACAAATTCCTTTTTTATATCTTGGAGATGACACAACTGTGGAAAAATAAGATTTCCAGAAATCCTGAGGAAAAAAAAAAATTCTAATGTCTTTCATCTGTTTCTTCTACCAGCTCTATTTTCAGCTCTATACAACATAAAACCGCTTTCAACCCTTGACAGATTCCTTGCTGTGACTGTTCATTTGAAGCGAATGAAGTATCAACAGCTCTCTCTAAGAAGTCTCAATCCCTAAATGACCTTTGTGTATAATTAACACACTTTTTTACAGCACCTTAGCAGTCCTTTAAAGCTATCTAGTACTGACAGCTGTCTCTTAAAATAATATTGTATCCTTGCCACACTCTGCTAATAGCCTTAATCACTTTCTTTAGGTCTCAATTCAGCAGCAATTCTGGTAATCAAAGTCTTTATCTTGTCTGAGTCTGTATCTTTAAATCAAATCAGGCTCACAGATGCTAAGTCCAGAACAAAACTACACTTGACTGCAGTTATTACTAAAAAAGATACAGAAGACATAAAACCCAAATATCCTTCCAGTTTACATCCTATTTGTAAATTGCCTATTTCCATGAGAACAATGTACTGGTTTTATTTCGGTTCCTTTTATTTCGGTACCTTGTGCATGTCTGCCTAGGAATTTGACAGAAAATTTACTTCACTGTTACAACTGATTAGCACTTATAGTACAAGCATCTGAATGATACAGCACCAGATTCCCAATAACCTCTGCCAGAACCCTTCATGCAGAACTCATGGAAACACTACTTTATTTTGCTCAGTCTGTGACCTCTGTAGTAAAGTTAAAGTGTGGTGTAAATTGGTTTAGAAAAAGTATTTTTCAGACATTTAAGAAATTAGCAGATTACACTCCAAGAACATTCTCAGAGACTGTAATGTCTTAGTAAGAATCAGTTAAGTTCTGTAACTAATAACCTCACATCCTTGAGTTTTCTGTATTCTGCAGCATCAGTCAAGATGGATAAAGACCTTACTGAAGAGCCACTGCTAACTTTCATGCAGCTCCAAAATTTCTGTACTGAGATTTAATAGCACATTGCTCAAGTCAACACTTAATAGCACATTGGCCAAGTCAACACTTACCTCACAGAACATTAATAGGCAGAAGCAAAGAAAAATGTCAGCATTTCTTACCAGCTTATTAATTCCATTTTATCTGATCACTTACTAGTTTCATTTTGGAGAGCAGTTTCTTCTTTTTCAATTGTTACCAGCAAGTTCTCAGTGAGGTCTGCTCTTTTGCCCACAACTGCAAAGCCATTCCAGACATACATCATTTCCTGACAAAAAAAAAACCCAAACAAGACAAACTCATGGAATTGCATAAATATTTAACTAAAGAGTATCCCTTGGAAGGCTATTATGGAACATTTTGAGTATGTAAAAATACTGCCTACAAAAACTTGTTTTAAACAATATGAAAGGTTTCAAAGCCAAAACACTGTTGAGAAACCCATGAAGAAAAGTATCTGTACGACTTCAAATAACCACCCACAATGAGTATGGGACATTCTGTCAGTTACATGCAAGTTTACAAAGACCATCACTTTTGCCTTAATAATCATTTTATTAGAAGTTGCATAAGAGTATCTACGCATAGGGGAGGCAAAATTACATTGAATGTGTGTGGGCAAAGTTCACTTGGTTTCTAAGTTTTGAATGTTTTGATACCTTTTTAATGGATTTTGTGGTGTATTTTCATAGATCTTTAAAAACAAAACTGAACAGATTTTATCACGATTGTTTACCATCGTCACCAAAACTGGGTATTTTAGGTTCAACTTGTGGTCTCTGCCATATGAACTAATGAAGTAGTTGAAAGTGGTTACTTTCTACAGGATTATAGATAAATTTGTGTGTGTATTTGTGAGTATATACAGTATATGTATATATGCGTGCACCCAAACACACACTCATGCTTCTTTATATATATAAATGCTGTAATCTATAGGCTGTTACCTTCCATATGGAGCAACACTGGAAGTAGATAAAACTTTCTGGATAAAAATGTGGTCCAGTACACACATCCAACACACACTTCCCATATAACTCCTACAAAATCTTATTTTTAAAAAAAAAAAAAAATCAAGGCAAATCCTGGCACAAAGCTTCCCAGATGCTTCAGTACAATAGTAAGCAATGTGTTGTTTCAATGTATTAAATATTATCACATTGTAACACATAACAAGAACAAGAAAATACACATACAGAGTCAATGCTAGCCAATACAAAACTTTGCTGAGATGTTTACTCAATCATCGCAAACACAAGAGTATCATTTGTTCTACTGTATTTGAATTGTAATTACAACTGAAATATATAATACATTGTAATATTTCCACTTACATTTGTGCCCTAACTATGTGGTTTTTCAGAGGGAGGAAAAAAAATGGTTCTATCAAAGTCTAAAGTAGCATTATTGACACTATCAACTGCACTATGCTACTTGTCTGGAGCACAAGTCTTATGAGGAGCAGCTGAGGAACCTGGGATTGTTTAGTCTGGAGAAGAGGAGACTGAGGGGAGACCTTATCGCTCTCTACAACTACCTGAAAGGAGGTTGTAGCGAGGTGGGTGCTGGGCTCTTCTCCCAAGTAGGTAACGATAGGATGAGAGGAGATGGCCTCAAGCTGCATCAGGGAAGGTTTAGATTGGATATTAGGAAAAATTTCTTCATGGAAGGAGTAGTCAGGCATTGGAACAGGCTGCCCAGAGAGGTGGTGGAGTCACCATCCCTGAAGTGTTCAAAAAACGGGTAGATGTGGCACTTCAGGACATGGTTTAGTAGGCATGGTGGTGTTGGGTTGATGGTTGGACTGATGATCTCAGAGGACCCTTCCAACCTTAATGATTCCTAGTATTACTTTCATTAAAAATTAATCCAGCCACCAAGCCAGGAAACATGAAATTACTAGTCTACCCTTAATAGGTTTAGTGGTGGACTTGGTAGTGTTAGGTTAATGGTTGGACTGGATGGGCTTAAAAGTCTTTTCCAACCTAAACGATTCTATGATTTGTTTCAATTCTGTAGTCCTGTCTTAATTTACACTTACTGCAGTAACATTATACACTATGTTTATTTTTGCTTAACCCACAATGGAAAAATTCTTAAATTAAACGATACCGGATTTGACAGCAAGACCAAAGATATATACTCACAACTGAATAGCACTGTGCTGTACAAGCCCAAAACAACTTTATTACTTAGGTCTTTATACATAATTGAGTGTACAATGAATTTTAAAACTGATGGATTAATTATCTTTGGACTCTTCTTTCTATATCAATGAGCTTAGATAAGAAATTCCTTCTCAAGTTATGTTTTTCATTTTCAGTTGTTGCTAAATTATCCATGTACAAAAATTTTAGCACACACATATGCAAAGTATCATTGCTGTGCACACATAAACAGACTGTGCTATTAATGCCTCTGAAGTTAAAAGCACAGGAAATTAGAATAGCATTAGTAAAGTATCATTAACTTCTGCACATTTCACTCAGGCTCAATACAAGAAAAAAACCAAACACCACTCTTCATTTTCACAGGAAGAACAGACAGTGCTGAAGTACTCCTTAACTTCCTAATGACTCAGGAGGACAAGGACTGAAATCCTGCCAAACTAAAGAACATAAACATATATGCTAGAAACCCATGCAAGTTTATAGCTGGAAGGTGACTTTCACCCTCACCAACAACAATCATTCTCTGCATGTTTGAACTTTCACGTGAAAAATCTGGCTCTGGTTTTGGACTGCTAGTAGTTGGTAGCATGACCCAGCCCCTAGTAAATTTCACAAAAATCCCATTGCATGAATGCAATAATTCTTAAAAAAAAAAAAATTTAAAAATGTAGACACATACTACCTGATAATATTATTCTTTCCCTGTATAATGAATTATAGTTATTTCTTTTCTATTTGAAAAAGACAAAAAGAAAGCAAACATAAATACCAAGGCAGGTAATATCAGCTTCACTGGTTGAGAACTTGCATAGCGTCGAGCTTTCCTCACTGCAAACTTCTCAGTTGGGATAGATTTTCCTGCAATTCTCTGTTTTAGACCATCCACTTGTCTACAAGTAAGGAAAATGGAAGACAGAAGTTGCTTTGTGTAATTTCTATTTCATCTTATTTCATTTAGTAAGATTTGCTGTTCACCTCTGAAGTATAACATCTTAAATTGTTTCACACCACTTAGACTGCAGTTGTAGGACGTATGCTTGCTGATAAAAGCAGCATTTTAAATATTCTGATGCTGAAGCAGAGAAAAACTGAAAAGTTAATGGTTCTAAGTAGGAAGTAAGTCACACAACGATACTCAAGTCAAAAACTTTTTATATAGGGGAAGAAGACTGCCCATCTAGTTGCTTTATAAGTATTTACCTGAATAAAGATACAATGTCCTCACCAGTCCTTTTCAAATCATCCTCTGGAAGCATACATAGAATTGCTGCTTTCTGGAATACATATATTGCCTATTTCAAAAAGAAATAGCAACATATTACCATATCTAATTTGCTGTGCTCAGTCAATACACTAAGGACTCAAATCTCTCACCCCACTTGCTGCAGTGACATGTTACCAGTAATTCTCATGCAGGTGGAACTACGGAAGTTTAGCATTTCCCTTGTCACATGATTTAGGATATAATTTTATTTTCAACATATTTATTAATAATATAAGTAAGTTAGTCAGAATGCTAAAGGTGTCTCCTGCAAAGAACAGGACAACCTATTATGCAAATCACTAGAAAAGAGATGAGGTTAAATGACATAGCTATTCTGAAGTCCATTACTGTTATTATATGATCTGTTACATGTGGAGACATGCCTGCAAAACCAGAAGAAAATATCTGAGTAGTGATTCAAGGGAAGTTCAATAACTGGACTTTGCAGACAAAAAAGGAAACATCCATAACTTTATTCAATACATTTGTACTACACATTGAATATACTATTCTCTTCTTCTCTTGTCAAGAATTGGATGTATCCCCTTTTCCACGAAGCACAATAAAACAATAACTGAGAAAGAACAGACAAAAGTGATGTATCAAAAACTATTTGCACATTGTGCTTAGTTCATACTTTGAGAAATACTTTTACAAAGAAAAAGTAGATACCCCAACTTTTCTCATGAGACCCTGTCTCCAGCAGCCTTCATTTCATGCTGCAAAGCATCTGCTGAGTGCTCTCATCTGTTTATAATTAACTAACAAACACAGTACCTTTAGCCAAGTTTTATTAGTGAGTGTTAGAACTTGAACTGAGATGCAAGTTAACAGTTTTCCTCTCCCTCTTCATTCTCATAACTCTGGTAAGTACCTCTTCTTTTAGAGGGGCTGAAGCATTATTAGTTATGGCTGTCGTGCTTCAGAATGTGACAAAAATTCCTCCTTAACCACTCAGTTAAACCTACCATTTTGGTGCCATTGTGCCTTTCCTTATGGGTTTCAGAAGAAAGCAAAAATTACACTTATTGTGCAAATTGAAACACAAATTTAACTGTGGAGAGGCTACTGGTATATCATAACAACGTCCACCTGCCCATTTACCTTAGACCACCTGCTCTCTTTGCTCAGCAGGTCTGCATACTGATATGCTTGAAGCCAGTTCTGCTGGAAGGTGTAGCACCACATCAGCTCCCAGTAACAGAGATGATGAATCTGTTTCCACTCTTGCTGGGCTGCTATGCATTCTTGGAACCCCGCCTGCGCCTACAATGTATTTAAGTAAGAATGATGAAAATTGGCTCAATTACAGCTCTGCATAAGAGCCATGTCTAATTACAGGGCAAATTTTTTCCTAGCACCCGAGTGGAGAACACCTGACTAGTAGAATGAGTTAAACTTCCCTTTCAGTCTCATTTACAGAGAGGGAGATGGAATCAATATTGACACTGAACATGAACAGTGATAAGAGCATTATTATCAGTCCAACTAAAATAAGTTACTTAGATGAATTAGGTATTTTTTCCCCCCCAAGTTCAACAGTGAGCAAATAAAAACCTTGAAAAGAAAAAATTGTTTTACCTTTTCAAAATTTCCTTTCAGTGTATCTATTCTGGCAGCATAAAACAGAATAATGGAACCCTTGAAAGGGGATGAGAAAAATACACAGTTACTATTTTAAGCTTAGGGAAGTACACTGCTGTTATAAAATTTATTGAGAATACACACATTTGGAAATTTCTGGAGGTATGGTTCAAGGAGACTGTCTGCTTCCTGAAGGTTGCCTTCCCCTGTACCTAGAAAACATAACAAACCAACCTCAATGTACCCAACAAACAAATTTCATAGATTAAGATTTTGGTTTCCGAACCATATTATGGCTTGAATAGATTAATGGATGACTGCTTTTATGCAAAAGCAGAATTATTTCATCATATTGTGTTTCTATAAAAATGAATTCTTGTCCTGAAGGTACTAAATGCTTTTAAGATAGAATACGTCTGTAAGTAGAAACAGAATAAAATACATGAACATTCTTTAAACTGTTCCATTATAAATACTAGTTCTATTTTTAAATCCCTTTAATTGCTTTAGCAAGTTAGTAAAACATTCCTCAGCTGCCTCCTTTCCTAATTTTGAGCTCAGTAATGAGGTACAGGTGATATTGAAAGAAATGAAGTTCTCCTTAATTTCCTGATGAGCCTGAGGGACAAGGACTAAAATACTTCCAAACTAAAGAACATGAAAATATGTCAAAGATGCATACAGAATTAATGGTGACTTTTAGCCCCACGTGGCAAAAGCAATTAATTCTCTACACGTTTGAACTTTCAAGTAAATTTTTTGGGAGTACAGACTTCTTTCTGGAGATAGTTTTCACAGTATCTAACATTAATTTATGGATAAGGACTTGTCTGAACTTAAAAGCATTTTGTGATGTTTTGCTGTTACATGTTGAAACAGCCCTGCAAATGGAACAAGATGTTGGTATAATGGTATCTACCCTCACTGTTTCTGCAGACATAGCTTTGTCAGTCAGAGATATTAATTTCAGATCATAATTAAGTATACAGCAATCTCCTGTTACAAAGCTAACTGGCCACAGTTTCGAAATTCAGTTAAAAAAAGAAAAAAAATCACAATATCTATCATAATGTGTAGCATGACTGAACAGCTACACAGTGAGTCTCACCAAGGATTAAGGAGATGTAAGTATGATAAACCAACAGGATGAAAGTACACAGAATGGCCCTCAAACTGCTGCCAGATGCGCCTTCCCGTAGTTGACAGAGGCCCAACTCCTAAGAAACATCACAAACACATGCAGAATTAACTATCAGTATACAGAGTCACTATTAATAGTTTCTGGCTCCCCCAAATCCAGTCTTCCTTTCAGATGTAAGTATTTTGTAATTCAGCACTTTGTTATCTCAGATCCAACACAACCTTCTACCAAAACCAGTTCTGCCACAGCTGATAGCACTCAGCAATGAGAAGATTAAGCTAACATTGAATAAAATTACCCATGCATTTCAGTGCTCTGGTGAAATGGGAACACCATACAGGCCATGAAGACACACAGATCTACATCCCTTCCCCACTGGTTTCTGGCTATGAGCCCTTCAGAGTAACATCTTTAAATCTATGTTTGGTGAGAAGCTCTCTCAACTGTTACAGTGCTACTTGTCAGCAAGAGTCTTCCTTCACAGAGGTCCTTGCTTATCCTCAATTCTCTTCCATCCAGTTAGCCACTATTTTGAGGTTCTGATCAAAATACTTGCCCTGCTAACACACCAACTTCTAGACACTGTTTCTAGAAGCTACCCTGGAATTGGTGTGCGCTAAGAAAAGGAACCCAGATTCATGGAGACTTATTTAACTCTTAACACATGAAACTTCTTCCCATCCTTTCCAGTTTATGCCCCTTACATGACAGCTTGACTGCGTGGGGGATTCTTGAAACAAGCTCAAGTGCTTCCCGGCTCAACAGCAGTGGCTTTTCAGAAACTTACCAGATTTTAACAGTTTTGCCTCAAAACAAATATTAACTTAAACAAGAGCTTTATTGCATAGCAACTTGACAAGCTATAGGAGAATTCAAGCACCATACGAAAAAAAAACGTGCTGATAGTCCAAAATGGTTTGTTCTTTTCCTTTCAGCTTTTATTGCCTTTTTAGTCAGGGCAAAAATGTGTACTATGGAACAGCTTCAGCATGATCCAGGTCTTTCACAGGACAAAACAGAATGAACAAGTCTCTACTGAAGTCTAATTTTACATAAGCAGAACCATATTTGTGGACAAACTAACAGCAGTGAGACCATATGGTGACTCTTTGTCTCATTAATAACGTGAAGTTTAGTTATATATAATTCTGTGGGTTGCTTTGTTTGGTTTGGTTTGGTTTATTTCTTATGGGTGGAAGTAAGATACTTACAAAACAAGGCTAGGCTTACAAAAACAAGGCTATGATTACAAATCCTTTCTTCATCCATGAGAAAAAGATGTATTGACATTCCACTGACACATGATACTCAGAAATTCCTTCTCCCAAAGAAATGGGCTGGGATTTTGGGTGGAAAAACAGAACTGTGACTCTCCCCTCAGTTACTGGTATGAGGAATCAGTTACTGGTATGAGGAGCATTAATTTTGGACTATATAGGCTAGAAAAGAAAGCTGATATCCTCTCATTAAGGATCAGCAAAAGCAAAGGAAATTGAGACTTGGAAACATCCTCTGAAGCAGACTGGTCATTTCCCATGGTTGTTCAAGATCAGGGTATCACCATAAGTGCTTTTATGCCTGCATCATCTAGCCCACTTCTCATCTTTTTTAGCAACACTAAAATACCGATAAACAATATAGATCATTATACTCTTAGTGTTAAATATATGATGTTAAATCCATCCAGTCTTTATCTGAAAAAAGACTGATTTGAAAAAACAAGTAACAGATCCAATACCCTGTTGCCAGAAAATCCAATAAATTCTAGAAGTCGGAGGATCCGTCCTGGTAAAAGTGACAGCATCTGAAATACATTTCAAACAAAAATAAGATCAATAAAAACTTACATACATTTAACAAGAAAGTAAACCCACTACAAAGTTGAGCCAAAAATGCCAACTACTATGTTAAATGCCATTACACATCAGTGAAAAGGTAAAACACAAAGGAACTCGAAAATAGACAGGCATGAGGAACAATATACAATCAGTCTGCAGCTTCAGGGAAACTCAAGACTTTTGATGATCATCCAGCATGGAAACAGCAAGACAGAGTCCAGCTGTGCTTCTTCAGATAATGACAGATTTTTCTGCCTTCAGCTATCAGAATTGTTTGAAAATTGTGGGTCATTTGGAATGAACGTATTATCTGTTTTGGTAGTACTTAACAATCATCATCTTCCTTTACTCCCAATCAAGTGACACAATAGTATAACAAAAGTTCTACTTTTCCCCAGCAAGCATACTTGTTTTAGAAATACTAGCTATTGTTATCATCCCTTAGCTCTTTATTATGTGCACTTTTTGTTCCCCTTGTAACTGCATTCTCCACATCCTACACAACAGAAAACTTATAAAGATCACAACCACCTTTTCAACAAGCGTTACAAGAAGGTTTATCTGAAGCTCAGTTTTTGAAAGCTCCATTCACCCTAATACATTCTGACCAGCAGAGACTTTTTCTGTTAAGCTTCCTACTGAGGAGGCTTCATGAAGAACAGGAAAGGTCAGAGCACTTATGAACACAGACATCTACCAGTGGCTTGGGTTTTAATGACTGACAAATGCAGATAGACCTGAGTTCCTCTGACCATGCTCAGAACTGGCCAGCTCCAGTCTGGAATGATACAGAAATTAACATACCAGCAGAAATCAACTCTCACTGTTGCCACAACAGATGCAAAAAGGCAACTGTAGCAAACTGTGAAGAAAAATCCTAGTGGATGTACCCAGTTTTCTTTTGGACAAACTGAGTAAACTACTACTCGTTCTTCTGAATTTGTAATTATCTATACCAATCTACAGTATGCTACTGAAGCAAAAGAAAGGTATACATAGGGGTGTTAGAATAAAGCAGTCAAACCAGGTATCCTGTAACCAACAGCATAAGCCTCTTACAAATTCCAGCTACACACAGGTAGATGTACCTGCTTTTCCTCTTAAAAAATACATACATAAATTAGTCCAAGAGAATTAAACACAATTCAGAATAAATTAGTAGAAAGATACTACAAAGCATGCATGCAAAAAGCCACTGCTGTTTTCATATTGCATAAAACCTTCAAAGCCTGTATCTCCATTTCACAAATGTGACATTTTTAAAACAGGATTACAGTACTGTATCTGCAAAGAAAGAATCCTACAGAATTTTTCCAGACTACAGAAAGGCCATTGGGATAAGTCATACCAAGTTGAATGCTCCGATTCCAAGTTTTACTCCTCCTTCAAACTGGTAGAAAGTTTCATTTTTGCTTTTGTTCCCCTGAGTCATCTGTAGCACCTGATGACATTCTCTTTTGATGCAGAAAGAAAGGAGGGAAGGGGAAACATGACTTAGAAATTATATGGAGTATAATCATTATGATTACTATAAAAATATTTGTTTGTTTTGGAGGCATTAATGCAACTGCACCTGCTTATACCAACATTGAATCTAAGTGTTTTCTAATGGCTTACTTGTATATTTGGTAACTTGTCCTAATTTTGAGGCCACCTTTAATAAAGTTGATCATATTTTCATCCTGGAAGAAAAAAAAATTAATTGTACAAAAATGTGCATGCAGCTATTACATATAACACATACATAAAAACCTTCCATCTACATTTCAATTTATTTATAACTTAACAGTCACTGGAAATATTAAAAGTGTTTTTCAGTTATTAGACTCATCTCTAAGACTGAAGTTAACACTTGCTTTATGTTGTCAGGGAAACATTTCTCTGGTCTGTGTTACAAATTTTAAAACTTGAGGGGGGTGAAAAAAAGTCAGAGTTACTTTTAACAGAATTTCCAATGCATATAAATGAAACAAGAAAGCTCTCCACAAGATGGTGCTGTAGGAACTTTTTAGAAAGTTTTGAAATACTGATTCTGACACACACAAGTGAGCCCCGGACCTGGCAGAAGACAAACCATGGTTTAAGAACCCCCTGAACAGATGAATTCCCATTGTTGATCAACAGTAACCACATGTACTACCCAACGTATGTGCTTATTAACCTCTAGAAAAATCGAAGTAAAGCCACAATGTACTAGCCATCAAAAATAAATTCCTGACAAGCAAGATGGTTAAAAGTTCATTTTTTCTCTTACAATTCACACAGAAGGGGAACATGTGCAGGCATTTCAGAAATGCACATTTAAATACTCAGGGACAGCATAAATGATGTGGAAAATGAAAAAGCACAAAAAAGCCTCAGAATCATCAACCAAAAGGAAATTCTGGCTTCCCTAAAAGGGCCACCATTTCAAAAGACTTTAATTGTTTTTTCTGCCAGACTAAATACTCAAACGCAAGGATGAAAAATACGGGGCATGACAGCAATCAGCACAGCATGGTAGTATAGTCAACAGCAATGGATCTCTGACAGGATGGATAGCAAGGTGCTGCTTTAGAGAAAGTATACCCCTAAGATTTTTTTCATTTTATAAGGCCTAAACTCACCTCCTTCAACAACGTTTTAAAAATTCTCTTCATGCTTAAAAAAATCCCACCCACAAAACAAAAAAAAGGATTGCTTCCATTTGGTTAGTAAAGGAGAAAGTCAGTTATAGGAAAGACTGGCATTCCATTAGTAATATATACTGACAGTTCTGGCCAAAGTACTGTGTTAAGTGGTTTATAAAGCTTTGCCAAATTAAATTTTTAGGTCCATCAGATCTTAGCATCTTTGTGCTTTGCTTCTTCCTCATAATTTATATCTAAAGGGATTGTCTAAAATACATTCATTAAACATTTGTAAAGCACTCACATATTTAAAAAAAGTATGACTAGCTACTCCTGTTTTCAGGAATCGGATTTCAGATAGAATTTGAAAACACTGTAGCATGAAGTCCCTGAACCACAAGCTAAACAAGAAGCACCAGACAATATTAAACAGCAGAACTTCCTGTGAACTCAATTATTACCTCAGCAACACTAAGGCATGCTCATTTTATAATCACTCATTACTATATTGTTCCTGACACCATGTCAAAAGAGCATGGAGAGTGATACTGGAGACAAGTGTGCATCAGTTGAAGTTTTGTTAGTTGGGAAATATTCCATCCTTTCTGTGCAAAAAAAGACTTGCATTGTCAAACAAGACATTTCCTCATACTTGAACTCTTTTTAAATAAGTGCTGGACACTGTCAGATGTGATGCAAGACATTTAAACATACCATCTGTATAACACTGCAATATACCTTAGGTTCTTGGTTCCTGGGTATCAATAACATCTTTGGTTATTCATATAAACAAAGAGGATTTTGCTGGGTAGCACAGCATTTACTGCACTTTCAATCACTGCTATGAAACAACATTCAATGACTAGGAAAAAGTTTGGGTTTTAAATACCATATCTATAGTGGGAACAATGTTTTACAAGTACTAACATCTTTCCATTAAACTGCTACACAGAGATACAGAACAAACAATTGACTTTACCTGTACAAAGGTGAGAGCTGCCTTCTGTAGTAAGCATTCAGCATAGCAGATTTCAGCATGCATTTCCTCTATATAAGAAAGAAAAGTTATTTACTGTCAGCAAATTTATTGTCAATGTTCTCTTCTTGGGGTCAATGGAACAAATAAAATGCTGCCAAGAAAAGAAAAAAAAAGGAAGATTCTGCTGTTGCTGTTTTGATAACTGCTGAATAATAGCTGTAACACACAAATCCCAATAGAAGTCTTCTATTTCACTTCGCCTCAGGCAAAAACTTTGATCTTGCCAGAGCTGACTTCAGCCTAGGGCAAAAGCTACTTGTCATTCTGGTGGATGATCTCCTGTATTTTCCATTGGTCCTAAGTTTAAATATCAGCCTACAGCAACTAGGTCTTCCAACTCTCCTTCCACGTCTTAAGAAAAAACTTTCACAGATGAATGGTAATGCTCACTGTGGCTCAGGCTTTTCCTAAGTCCAGTAAGACGTTATAAACAGGTTTTCACCATGTCACGCTCAACAAACCAAAAGTCCCGGCAGACTTTCTGTCCTCATGCACCACCGAAGTACACTTGACTTAACACAAATGACACACGTTACTCTGCACCCATGCTGCAAGACCAGCCACATACACAAGGCTGTTGTATGTACAGTGCACACGTGGTGAGTTTGATGCATCCAGTATTAAAGAGGATTCTTTTGTGTCAGGTTAGAAAAAACGCATACTTGATTCTGCCCGAATCAAAAATAGGAGATCAGCATTTTCAGAGCCATGAACAATGTACTGATACCATTTCCCAAAACACGTTAAGGCAAAACAGAAAGCACAAAACTTAATGTTAATATATGTAGATTCCAGTGCAACTAGTGATAAGGACATATTCCACATACTTAAACATTTGGGAGATGTATTAAAAAAAAAAAAAAAAAAGGAAATCTCTCTTCAGTCCTATAATGCATTGTGAAAGGCATTAAGACATTGCTTAATTGCTTAATTTGTGCATGCTCAGAGCCAAGAAAATTTAGGCTGCATCCCCCATTTTGAGAAGCTTTGCATTCAAATTAAAAAAAACCCCACAATCCAAAAAATCCCACCATCACCACTAAACCACCAAACAAACCATTTGTTTGGTTTTTTTACTGTAAGACACTAGTCAATTTACAGAGTTAAGCATACTTGTACATGTTGGTAGGGTGTTTCTGAGCTTTTTTCACTTTGTTATTTTAATTGTATTATAAACCACGTACCTTCACTCAACTGATCCACTGGCTGTTTAGAAACTAGATTGGACAAGGATTCCACCACTGTGCTTCTTTTCCTGAATCTAAATCAGTTGTACGTGGAAGAAAAGCACCCCAAACAGTATGAGCAACATTTCAACACAAACTTGAACTTAATTATTTATAATTCTTAACCATTTCCAACCACAATTTATAGACATTCTTAGTAAGGTGATGATTTGCCAATAGCTGCAATTCTTTGAGTAGTCTAATCATGGCCACTAGAATGCATCTAGGCTCAGAAGTGTATCCAACCTTGATTGATGTTCCAAGCATGCATTTAATCTACTTTAAGTGTACAATAGCTTCCACCTCACTTCCACCCACCAGCTGCAGAGGTCTCTCTGATGCTGGGCAAACCACTTGAACTGGACCTCGAAGTTTTATGAATTACTTTTTTCCACTTCTTAAAGTTGCACTTAGAATTAGAATGAAAAAAACCAAAAGGAGCTCTGTTTGCAACATAAATGAAACCATAAACACTTCAGTATTTTATGGCGGTTTATGCCAGATATGATGCCAGAACAGTCACATATTTTACTTTCAACAGATCTCAACTGTCCATGTTATAAATTGCTGGTTTATTTTAGTATGGCATTCCAGAAATGAATTCGTTAGTATTTACAAACAACTCAGCTTTATGAAGAAGCTAAAGAAACCATTCTACATTCAGAAAAGGAATGCACTTTGTAAGCCAAGCAGTCACTAATTATAAATACTGAGCATTAGCTTATTGTTTGTTTACACTATTCTGCACATTGAAAAGCACAGGATCCTAACAACAAGATTATAACATTACAGGTTAACTAACACATAAAAAAAAAAATGGTCAATCAAGGGACATGTAGTTCTGGCAATTATTCACCTGAGTGTTTGATTGCCTTTATCTTGCATTTTTATGAGTTTTGTGACAGACTAGACCAGAGCATTTATGCATAGAAGTTTGTATCCTGCAGAGATGGAGGCCCTTATTGAAACCATCTGAAGTACAAAGAGGCACCTAATTTTCAGCATACTAAACAACATAGTTCAGATGAAACTGTGAATTGATAGCACACCTGAAAAAGAGGCAGAAGCTGCTGACTCTATTTTCTTCAGGTAGCATCTGATAATTTTGTCCTGTTTCCTTTTCTTTTGTTTGTCATTGCTAAGGAAGTGATGTTAAATGTCTAAATTAACAACATTTGGAGGTAATTTCTTTGGAGACCATTCATGACAAGTTATGGCCTAACCAATATGATGAACCACGAGTACAGTAGAATAAAACACTCATTTCTGTTTTTATCAGAGGCTTGTTAAGCACTTTAGCTTTGACAAGCCATTTTCTAAGTTGTTTTTAATTAAAAAAAAAATAAAGGTCACTAATAACTTCTACTTTCTACTCTATTTCATTGTTGTTCCAAGCAAGACCAGAAGCAAAAGGTTCAGGTCATTCTTGATGGGAATAACAGCCCTTTAATTCTAAGGTAAACTAAACACATTTGTAACAATAATTTAAAAATTTTTTGGTTTTAGAAGAAACCTCAGTACAAGCTTAATCCTATTAGACTATTGGGTCCACCTTTGAAAACAACTTTTAAAAGAAGAATATTATCATGATGAAAGGGAAAATTCAAATATGGAGCTTTTGAATTGTTGATCCCCATGGAAAACAAAAAGTCACAGGTTGAAATAGGTCAGGCAGTTCAATCATACAGTGTCAGCTCATGTGTAGCTCTACATAGCCAACCAACCATTTAACTAACTTTAGAGGCTACACATGCCAGACCCAACAAGTCTGTTGTTTCCACAATACTAGGAAACATATCTTTACCAATAATTGGATAGTGAGACTTCACCTTTCCAAATTTAGATCACTATCATACTGACAGTAGCCTGCTCTGAAAGCGTGCATACAGCTGGATGGAATATCTTACAAAGAAAAATTAGTGGATTAAATACCTCATAAATGTTCATTGCTTGGGCTTACCTTTGGCAGGTTTGCAAAGCTTCCTTCATCACAGAAATTCCTATTTGTATATCCTGCTGTTCAAAGGTCATAGCAGCTTCCATAACTAAAATAGTGCTGTACCCAAGGGCATGGTACATACTATCTTTAGACCTAGGGCAAACATACACATCTTGTGCATTAAAGCAAAACTTTAAATTACAACACAAAATTAAATGCTCAGACACCTGCATTGGTTTGTGAAAAGACAGAAGAATACAGCAGGAAAGTAACAAACATGAGAACATAACCTAGCAAGTATCTTACAGGGCACTACATATCTGCCTCCACAGGATACTGTCGCAGCAAGTTCCAGAAAATATCCAAACTGGGTTACACAAACATTTGCGCTTAATTATATCCCATTTATAGTCTGCTGGTATAACTATTTAATTTAGCTAATTAAGCCTTGACATAAATACACGTTCCTCTGCTTTCACTTAACATAAGAAGTAAGGACATCCTTCTAACATTACTGCTTGATCCAAAGACACAAAAATCTTCATTTGTGTCATAAAAAAATCAGTACACACATGCTCAGTCCTGCATAAAAGGCTACATTGTACTAGTCTGGCTTTCACAACTTAATTACAAAATAATAACAATAAAAAAATTTTTAAAAAAAGGTTGTTGAAAAGTGGCTACAGGAGGTCATATAGTCAAACCTACCACTTGCAGCACCACTATTGCCAATGTTATGTCAGGCAAACTCAGGTTTTGTCTAACCAAGTTTCAAGAGGTTCAAGAAAATGAAGACTGCATAGCCCTCTGGTGGCTACGGTACTGGCCTCTCTGGTACTGTACTATCAGTGTGTTTTTTCCTAATATCCAATTTGAAAGTCCCAAGCCTCAACTTGTGGTGACTGCCTTGTTTTACCATTTGCCACTATGGAGAAAGATGTCTCTGGCTTTGCAACTTCCCCTTAATAGCTCCAGACCACTATTAGAATAATGCCCAAGTCTCCTTTTTGCCAAACTAAACCAAACACAGCTCTCGCAATCTTAATGAGTCGTATGTCCTAGTCTTCTATCTGTTGGATCCTCTCCAGTTTCCTCAAATTTTTTTCTTCCCCCTAAACCAAGGAGCCACCCACCAAATGTTTTGAGAACAGGAAACTGTACCAGAGTCAAGGAAGATAGACCCTTGGGCTAAGTGTTCATTTCTTAAATATAAAAATTTTTACATTATTTAAGGACTTACGTTCAACTTTCATTAAAAGACCACTTTTCAGTAAAACAATTGGACTTTTTCTTCTTTAAAGGTGGCTTTTTGTTTCCTTGCTCTAGGCTAGGTCCTCCTTTGCAGGTTAGCTGAATATGCTATATATTAATATATTAATATTAGCTGCCAGGGACTCAAAGCATTCTAAGCTCCATGGTTTTGATATTTTTCTTTTCTTTGTAGCAAACATCAACTAAAACAAATACTTCACTGTACATAAAAACACTACTATATGAAACAAGGGTTTTTTTGTTTTACAACTCAAAATATGGATATGAAACATACAAAAACCATTTGGTTAACATGTGTGCACACATGTGCACAATTCTTGCACGTAGAACTTAGTATTTTGCAACACTACCCAAAAATAGTATTAGCATACACAAGTGCAGGTGGGCCTTCTCAGAGCATTGCTCTATTACAGATAACACTGCAATGCTTAGAGAAGAGAGCTTGGGTGTAAGTATAGCTAATTTGAAAAGGTGTTATTCCTGCCTACTTTCTCTACACTTGAGCTCTCCATACCCCTAAAAGCAAACACTTTATAGCTGTGTCATCCTCCCAAGCTTTTATTTAATGGTGTTCTTCCAGCTGTCCATTCCACTGACCTAACAACACCAACCCATCATTCTTAATCTGGTCTTACTATCGCCGAACTGCAGAGCGAGAACTTTATCTCACTCTTCTAACACAAGCTACAGGTCCCTCTCACTGACACATCCCTCAACATCATACGCATCATTGAGAGACAGACAGAAGAACAGTGAATGAAATTCAGATCCCAGTCCTAAAGAACAGCCATCCAGACTGCCACCCCACGCAACCACAGGCAAGCCAGGTTTATCCTATGAACCTTCCAGGATTTGTTAGTTCCCTACATCTGCACTGCCATGCTTTTCTTCTCAGTGGAGCAAAGACAATAAGGGAACAGGCAGAATTACTCAGAAGATCAAAAGGTGGGCTTTAAGGGTGAACGCTATTGTGACTCAAATATAAATATATATATATATATATATTGTGGCCAAGCCCAGAGAGTTGTGGTAAATGGAGTTAAGTCC